CTCACAGTGCCTTCTCTCTCTCTCTCTCTCTCTCTCTCTCTCTCTCTCGTTGGTCTCTCTCTATGTAGATACATTAATTAATTGGAAACATATATGTAAGATATATATATTCACGATTGTTTTGTACGTTTGTACCGATATAGATACACAAGCCGAAGCAATTATTTTGCAGCGCAATCTCCGATTTTTCGGGAGTTTTTGATTGATTCAATAATAATAATTGAGATTTCAATCTGAGTTTGTTGCGGGATTTGAATGGGGAGCTATTACAATGGAGAAGCGGAGCCGCAGAAGCTGACGTCATCGGCTTCGTTCAAGGCTCGGAAGAAACCTGCCGCGGCCGTATCTCGGAACGGCTCCGATGTGGATGACTTCATGACTCTGTTGCATGGCTCTGACCCGGTGCGCGTCGAGCTCACTCGCCTCGAGAACGAAGTTCGAGGTTTGTATGTGTTTGGGTTACATTTTTTTTTTCTGAAGTTTATCGTGTTTTTTCTGAAAGGACTGTTTTGCATTTTGGTTCAATTTTGAAGAAAGGTCGTTAGTTACTGAAAATTTTGTGCAATGTAAAAAATCCAGTGGAATACTATTTTCAATTTTAAAATTCTAATTCGGAAATCTTCTAGGCTTCCATATTGGGATTTTGAGTAATACTTCTGTATCTTCAAGCAATTTCTGCTAGTGTTGACCTAAAAAAATTGTCCTCTGCTCCTTTTAAACTGTTGTTCATTTGTTTTTTTGTTTTGTTTTGTGAAGTTACCTTTGAATGCTGGCCAGCTGCCTGATTTATTCATATAAAGATATCTAATTTGATAATTTGAAATTCAAAATTTAAAAGGTCCCCATAGATACAGGACAAGTTTAACTTGTAAGATGGATGTGGGATCGACTATTGATTCTCTCTCTCTCTCTCTCTCTCTCTCTCTCTCTCTCTCTCTCTCTCTCTCTCTCTCTCTCTCTCTCTCTCTCTCCAGCATGTTGATCCATGATTTGCTAATGGCCTCAAAAGCTAGATTTTTCTTGAATAATGATTGTGACTGTTGCTAGCACGCCTCATAAAAGAAGTTAAATAAAAGGGGGCAGCATGTGGTTGTGTGGGCTGTAGATTGTGACTGCTAATGAGTGCAAGTAGAGCCAATTGTTCAGGCCCCATTACATGAGATTTCTCAGATTACATCATATACCATTTTAATGATATGCGCGGGACGTTCGGTGTT